TAGTCTCATTCCACATTCTTTATCTCTCCCAACAGTATCATTTGGAATATCCACTCTCTCCCCCAACACACATCCTGCACTGTTATCCACCAAGTTACCTGTTCCAGACTTCGTTCTAAATCCCTCTCTCCTGGGTCACAGCCAATATCTCACTAACTTCTACTAAGTCTATCTTTTAAATATTTCTCCAGTGGGTATTTTTCTTTCTCTCTGTTTCAGTTACCAATTAAATAAATCAGGCCCTAATTGTCTCTTGGTTGGAATATTAAGACAGGCTTCCAACTGGTCTAACTCGTTCCAAGTTTGAACCTCAAATCCATCACTGGCATGATGTATTTACAAAGGATGAATCGGTATTTGCTTCCAGCAGCTTTAAAAAGTTTCATAGGCTCCCTACCAGCTATAGGATAAAGTCCAAGCTCCCAGACTGATGGATTAGACACTATAAATTGTCACCTATTCAACTTTAAACTCATCTCTTACCATTTTCTTCTATGATCTTTGCCTTAGTCTTTTTTGTGTTAGAGTATAACAGAAAACCAGATGCTGGGAAATTTATGAAGAAAGAAGGTTTATTTAGTTCACAGTCTGCAGGCCAGGAAGTTCCAAGGCATGGCCCTGGCTTCTGGCTAGGGCTTTCCTACTGCACATGCATAGAGACAAAACCCAAGGGACACTCTGGTGTTTTAACAGCCCACTTTCATGAGAACTAATTAATCCATTTCCATGAAAACTAATCCCTCTTGCCAAAGCAAGAACTCAGTCTCCACTGTGAGAACAGCAGCAAGCCATTCATGAGGGATCCTCCCCATGATTCAAACTCCTCCCATTAGACCCCACCTCCCAACACTGCCACACTGGAAATTAAATTTTAACATAGGTTTTGATGGGGGACAAACAAATCATAGCAATCTTTATGTTCTAGCCGATTCAAACATGTATGCATCCAAACTCATTGTTTTGAGGTTCAATCTTGGTCTCTGCTATTTCTCTGATTGGAATTCTGTTTTCCCTTCCCGTTTCTTCCTCCTGTTGTTCTTCCTCTTCCTTCCCCTTCTCTTCTTCAGCTTCTTTTTTAATCCAATTAATTGATCATTTGTTCAATAGCTCAGATATTAATCCCAGAAGTTTGCCTTCTTGGTAACTTATCTTCCTCTATCCACAAACCAAAGCAGTGTTAAGCGCTTCTTCCACTATTGTATTTATTATCCCATGGGAATCTGGTTTTTTTTATTTGTTTGTTTGTTTGTTTTTTCCTTCCTGAGAGTATAAACCGGGAACCTTTGTTTTAATTCATCTTTGTATTTCAACCACCTAACACAGCACTTGACATGTAATCACTGCTTAAAAAGTATCCATTAAACTAACCCTCTCTGGCTCCACGTACTTCTCTCCTAGCACCACACGATGTATAGTTACTGTTGGTTTGTTCCTTACTTCTTCCTCTTGGGGTAAGCTGCTTACTTGTAGGCATTATGTGTGTGCTTTTCTCAATAGGTGTTGAATAAATGACATAATGAATGAATGAGAGCTGAATGTAAAAGTATCCTTAGTTCTTCCTTTGTTCCTTAGTATCTCTGTGCTCCTGTTTTCTCTGCTGTGTATTCCAATGTCACATCTGCTTGGGAGGTCTCTTTCCATTCCAAAACAATATTAATGGCTATTTACCTTTTTTACATTTATTTTTCCCTTCATAATGTTCCATCTCACTAAACCAGAAAATGTTATAAAGATCCACGCCGTTCTTACATACTATTTTAATGAACAAAAAACTGTTTATTATATAATCTGTGTCGTTTAATGTGGATAAGTAGTATGCATATATTACCCTCAATTTATTTAGATTTAAACTTCATAACAACCTCTATGATAGGCATTATTAAGTTAACCTTACAGATAAGGAAATTGAGTATGAAACTATCTCCACTAAGGAGCAATCACTATTTGAATACAAGCCTAAATCCAAAATTTATGTTCTTTTCACTTAACAACATTGCCTCTATTCCTCTGCTCAGTATGTCTTAATTCCTGTTTCTGGCACGTTACAGAAGACTTTGGACACAGAATTTACTACTCCAAAAACATATCAAAAGCTTATGGCTTTACTTATTTCTCCATCTCTACGTTTGACTATATCCATTGTTTTTCTTGGAAGTGTTCTGCTGTTCTTACTCTATCCTTTTTTTTTTTTTTTCTACTCAAGTATTTATCTGAGTCACCTTCTGCTTATTCTCAGCTTCTCTTTTTCCTTAGCCCAAAGTAAGTCTAGTGAATAATCCCACAAAACTTCCCCAAACTGGAACTGTTACATATATGAAGATTCCACCAGGATACCATCTCACCACTTGATGCCATTCCCAGACTGTTATGCTATTTAAATATGTTACATAATTCTTTAATATATAATCCATTGCTGTACTCCCCAACCCCCAGCCCACAGACTGGTATTGGTCTATGGTCTGTTAGGAACCGGGCTGCACAATAGGAGGTGAGTGGCCG